TCCAATCTCTAACATTCTGTGTCTGTGTGTGTGTATTTATAGTTTGATCTTGATGCCAGAGTGAATGCCATTGTTTCCTATGCACAGTCCTACGGAAGAGTCTTTTTGCATTAGTTAGAAAAGTTAGACAACTACCGTTTAAACCTTCGGCCTCAGGTATTTCTCGTTCAAGTGTTGAAAGGTTGAAGAAATTAGTTAGGCTTATGGGAATCCAGGCGAATGGCATTCTGTATTTCCCCAACCGCTGACAAAAGGATTCAGCTTGGGCTTTCAGTTTTTCAATCTTTTCTTTCGTCTACGACAAAGAAAATAATGAGTGTTTAAAAAGCAATCAGTTATTTTAATGCTACTATAGATAAGAAATGGAAACTACGTATTTACAGTTCAGTAAATAACGTGCATTCTTGTATCTCATGTTTTCTTGCTCGATCACTGTTAGGATCATAGCTGTTTTGATTTGTACATTCACTTCTCATTTCTTTTCAATGAGTTCATTTTCATAATAGAAAAGGAGAATGCAGATCTTTTTGCAGTGACCCTCAAGCCCAGGATGAACAATCACCATGAAATATTAGCAGGTTCTACTTCCTTTGTCAGATACAGAAACAATATTCTGCTGACTGCAATATTCTAAAGGTGAGAGACAGGTGGAAGTCCAGCAAATATTGTCAGTCTGCTCTAGGGAGGTAAATGACCATTAATTCCTTGAACAGAGCTCGTGATCTATGAATGACAGCACTGAATTGGACATGTGCACATCACAACAGGTTATTTACCCATCCAAATCAATAACATGTCTCTGAGGTACAAATATTTATGCTAACTCCACATTGCACTGTCATCTCCTTTGCTCACCCTTATCTGCTTCAGGACTCAAGACTTTGCCAGTATTGATTTCCAAAGGGGGTGGTATTGAAAGTGCACCTTGCCGTCTCATTACTTTTTCCTGTTGGTCACAGACACCAGACTGCTTGCACCTTGGATGCACCAGCTGTCTTCCTCCCCAATGTTCTTGGGATTCTGTCCTGCTCAAAAAGGTCTGTTCTTTCTCTGTTTTTCTCTTGTGCATACAATCTTTTATCTAAACACTATAGCTATTTACTTACCTTGCCAGACTCACTTTCTTTAAGAACCATGTAGGGTTCTGCGCAGTCTCCGATTTCTCCTTGCTGAAGCACTTTTTCTATCTACAAAAAGCAGTATAATATGACACTCACAAAGAAAAAATATCACCCAAATAGTAACATGTTGCTTCTCTAGCAATACAAAAGAGCCTGCCCAAATGCTCAATATAAAGTTCTTAAAACTGTCTTTATGGAGTAACCAATACTAAATCTTCTCCTAGTTTTCCATCTGCTTTGTTAGAAAGCAGAAAATATATATGTGACAACATGGTCAATCAGGTACTACTGCATTTTCACTGAAATCAGGAAAATTAATATGTTCCAAATGAAGAGGTTCAGGCTAACTTGGTTTCAGAATTAAATAAAGAAAATGATGGAAAGTGCACAAAACAAGCCAAAAAACCTCCACAGAATGTAATCACAATTTTTAAAAATGGGTTATTTCACTCTACTTTAAATTTCCTTTAGACAGAGAGAGGAAATTCTAAATCATGGAATCACAGAATTGTAGAATGGTTTGGGTTGGAAGGGACACTAAAGTTCATCTAGTTCCAACTCTCCTGCCATGGGCACGGATACCTTCCACTAGATCTGTTTGCTCAAAGTCTCAAACCTGGCTCTGAACACCTCCGGGCATGGGCCATCCACAGCTTACATACTTAGTAGAACTAGAACACAGGGTATCAATATAGCTTCTTAGCTTGGGAGTGGGATACAGCAGTGGACACCTGCACACATACTAATAAAAACTATCAGAATTAATCTCAGCTACAGGAAACTCATGTTTGTCAGCTCCAGAAACAGGCACAGCCAGGAACAGGAAGAATGATGTTGAAGTAGCACTGTAACATACCTTTATTACTAGGTATATATCTGATGAGGGATAAGTGACAGAAAATACTGCTGATCTTGCCTGAGTAGACAAGTCAACAGAGGGTGTATGAGAACGCAAGAATCCTCTTAATGAATCGGGGTTGAGGTCACAATGAAAATTTTCTGAGATCTAGAAAAGAAAAAGAATTAAAATGTATTGCAAAGTGAAAGTCCATCAAAATTTTATTTTAAAATAAGTGAAAAGCACTACCTAGAACTACAAAATTAACAACTGCAAGCATGTGACTTTGACTGAATAAAAAGAATCCTGGATCAGACTGCATATGTGAAAAAGTTGCATTTTTTGGTAAGTGTTCCTAAATTAGTACTCCAGAGATAAAAACCCAAGCCAACTGAACAAAAATACTGTATGCACACCTACCTTTTTTCTTTCTTTTACATCATAGAGAGCTACGCATGCAAACAAAGGTTCGATCTCTATATCAAACCTGTTAAAGAAAGACACACAGGACACTGATTAATACTGTACTCTTATGACTCTGTATAATAAAAAACCAAAAGGACTATATTTCGACTGGCACTTCCATTAGAAAATAAGGAGAAATATTTAGTTCCAGACCTCAGCTCTCTCAAAGCCTGGAGGATTTTTTTATTAGTGCATTTTACTAGATTATTTCAAGGGGAAAAGAGGGAAAGAAAACTGTATGCAACGTATTTTCTGAATTTGTCAGAAAGGTGATCTCATATATCAATTAAAACTGATCATACCTTTCCTGAATTTTTTTCTGTTTACTAAGTCCAGTAGCATGTATGGAGACCAATATAGTTAGCTGGAAATATATCATTTGGGCACATTCCCAATTCCTTTTCAACCTGACAAGTTAAAGACTTCTGTAATGATAGATAGAAATAGTCCTTTGCTACACTAAGAAAGAACAAGCAAGCATGTAAACACTTGCGGAACCGGGCACCTACAGTGGAGTGGCAGGGCGCAGCAGTGCACTGGTACGAACTGAGAAACTGTGGGCGAGGCCTGTGAAGGATACTCACTTTAGAGTCTGCAGCTTCACCAACATCCTGTTGCCCAGATGCTCCTTTGGGCGGTCCGGCACCGGCCGTATCTCCACTGCATCTTCCTGTCATTAAACAGTTACTCTAGTCATGCTCAATTAAAACACTGTAAATTTACATACATAAAACCATTACGTGACGTTAACTGGGCCACTGCTACAGACCAGCACCTTTCCCGGGCCAGCAGGCATTTATTCTCTTCAGAGATGAAAGAAAATTGATTTATATTTCAAAATATTTAGACATCTGACCCCCATCTGGCATTTACATTCAATATTTACACTTCCGGCCACCCCACAAGCACTGCAGCAAAGGGTAGCACCCCGACACAAGCGTGCCACCAGCACAGGGCTTGGCCCCCACCAACATGGGTGTAACAAAGTCTCAGGCAACAGCTTGAGTCAAAATACAACCACCTGGATGCATGTCCAAGACAGCTGACAGGAGCCCACAGTGAGGTGCCTTCACCATGTCATTATCCAAGGGAGACGTCTCCAGGACACAAACCCTGTTTTTCGATGGCAGTGCCCCTTTAACCTTGAATATGGTGGGATAGCCAGCCCAGGAAGGCTTGCAGGGCAGCCAGCCTCCGAGCTCACCTCATCCACGGAGGGGTAGAGGGCGAGGAGCTCAGCATGCCTGTTGGTGCGCCGCGCCTCCTCGTTCTGCCTCTCGAACTCCTCCGCGCTGACATGCCGCAGCAGGTTTTCCAGGCGGGGGTCCGGCTGCAGGCTGCGCAGGTCGAAGTCAGAGGAGGCGAGGGTCGTCCTCGAGGCCTCCTCAGGGGGTGCGTGGATGTGTCGGGGCCCTGCCTGCTGGAAAAGAACAAAATGGCGAGGTGTGGCTTGGAGATGTGGGCGTCATGAAGTGTCTCTTGCTTGTCTGGCAGAGAGGACCTTAATGCCGCCTCTGCCATAAGGCCTAATGGCAAGCACAGCTCTCCACTTCACGCCATTACAGAGACCCTAGGGTGCTTCCTTGGAGGAAAGCTGCTGTATTTGATCATTTTAACCAAAGTGAGCAGAAGCGTACCTGAAAGTTTGCATCGCCCGAGTCCAGAGTTTCCGATTCAAATGTTTGTTTTTGAAGCGTCTTGTGAAAATCTTTTCGGGACCCCTTGTTTTTCAGGCTACAAGTATCTGCATTCCCTTGGCTCCTTTCGCAGAGGAACGCCAAGCAAGTCAGGACAGCGCCAGGGGAGTTAAGGGAAAATAGGCAGAAAAGACAAATTAAAAAAACAGTAAAGTGGCTAGAAATTATTGTTGTGCAAAAGGGCAGCAAAGCACAGCTTTTGTGCAAAAATGTGGCATTTCACAAGTTTAATTGTTTTATCACTGCAACTCTATCATGTATATTAAAAATTATTTTAAAAGGAAGAAAATTCACTCACATCGCTTTTGCACAGACTGTCAGCCTGAGACAGCAGAAAAATCTGACCTAGGTACAAATTAATCTGAGCTCCTCATTAGACACTGTGATTATTTCAATGTCCTTAAGACCATGGATCGAGATTGCTTATCTCTTGGCTGGCTCTTTGCTCCTGCAATTATACATCAAAGAGCTTGTCTGAAATGTCATTTTGTCCAAAGCATGTCCAAAGTATGTCCTGGATCTAGCTGTCTCCCAAGTTAATCACATACAACAATCTACACCTTTCAAACAGTGCCTCTTTTTAAAGAGAGCTATTGCCATTACACAATTTAACCCCTTCTGCTGGCAGCTTCTCAAAACTTTGCGGTAAGGTATCAATTTCAAGTTACATTTCTGTGAACACATGGAAAAAACCTGCCTCTCCAACCTACCCTGAAAAAAAGATACTAGATGCATCCAGAGCTCTAGTTCTTCCACTTTAGTATGCAATTCATTAAATCCTGTGATGACCTTTCTGTAATCAGCCTCCTTAGTTACAGTATCCTACTTTATTCATTTTGCTTTCCATGACACTCCTAAAGCAACATCTGAACACTTGAGTACCTTCATAAAGCTGCCATAATAAGCAATTATTGAGCAGGGAGACACCTTTTTATTACACTTCGGGAGTAAGTGAACTATATGCTCCAATGTGTTTTAATTTTAATCGTTTGCATTTTAATTGTTTACCAGCTCACTGCAAATGAAAACTGAAGTCATAAAACATACAACCCCTGCTCTCCTTGGATGTGACCTTGTTTTGGAACTGCCTTAATCACCTAGGATGAAAGATAGAAATTCTGTCCAAATTTATTTGAAGATATTTCAGCATCCAAAAGAGGTTTCCTTCATTTTTTTATCACTACCTCCAGTGGCAAACAGACAATTAATGGATTTATTTACCTGAGATCACACTTTTCCTGTGAGGTACAAGCTACACCATAAATGTCTTTCCCCTAAAGTATTCCTGGAAAATTTATTTATATTCTTTATTTATCTTTAAAAGCATAGCAGATATTAAAACTCACCAAGAGGCTAAACCCTGTTTTTACCACACATTTCAGTTTAACGGCCACACTGCATTTGGAAAATTGGACGAGGAAAAGCAGCAAAGGACAACTGAAAGGAGAAACTGACAGGCACAGGAACCAGCCTCCCATTCAGCCTCTGACAAAAACACGCGGACCTCTCAGCCGTGTCCAGCCCCTCTCTCGCATATCTCTCCACCCTGGGGCACAAGGACCACCTCTCCTTGTGCCACCCACTGAAGTCTCTTTGCTCTGCTGCTCTGAACCTCCGCATCCACAAATGGATGAAAGTCACTTACATGGTCCTCTCATTATCCATAGCTCACCAGACCACACACTCAGCAACCTGTCCTACAAATCTTCATCTCCCAAGTAGCAACTACAGTTTTTTCAGCCTTTCTCAAAACAATGGAAAGCTTTCTATGACTGCTTTTTCTCACACCTCTCCAGATGCCTTTCTTTCTCTCATATCTGTTTTGAGAATAGTTTTCAAGTACAATATGACTCCCAGTAACAATTTATCACGGGTTTAGGTAACACTGCAGCATCTTTTACACTGTCTTGTTCTTTAACTTGCTTGCTTTGTTAGCCACAGCCATTGAAGCTCGGCTCTTTGACAGGGTCCTTCATCATGTTTACCTCAGACTCAACTACTCAATAAAGTTTCTGAATGCAAATTTGCCTTACCTGAATGAATGAGATAGTAAAACACCCAACAAATCTTTTCATGTACATGTATTTCTACAGCTCCATTCACATTTCTACAAGCACACATAAGTGCAAAAATAGCTACGTTCTATTTTTCACCTCTCCCACTTTACTGCTTGCTACTCGTGTGTGCAGACAAAGCTGCACACTGGCTCTTCACAGCGCGCTCAGAACAGCACTGTGTGAAAGAGCTAGCGCCCGTGCTCTGAGCGATGCAGGTGGAGAGCCTACAAAACCCCCTAACTTATTTTTAGTGACTCACTGTGGAACAGTTCTGAGAACTGAATCAATTTCATCAGCACACCCAGAGGAAGTCTCTTAATAACCCGCAGTGGCTGCTCCATGCCTGCACAAGCTGCACAATTAAACAACGCAATTCCTTTATGACACCAGGAGTCAACCCATAACACACTGACTGCTGATGCACATCAGGTCAAAAAAACAGAGAGCAGCAAGGGTGGGCGAAGGGGCACAATGAAGTGGCAGCAAATGTGCCAGCACTCCACCACAGGCTGCTACTGCTGCTTCTCAAGAACAGGGCATGAGCACAGAAGGGGATGAACAGGAAGTGGTAGAGAAAAACAGAGCTCCAAAAACCTCTTTCTGAAGAACAAGAGGGGGTGATGGGGAAGCAGGCGAGCTCCACTGGCACAGCACATCCCTATGGGTCTGAGGTCAGACACACACATACAGAAAGCCCTAGCTGAGAGTTCCCTTCACTTTAATACATGGAATGGAACAAAATTGGAAAAAAAAAAAACAAAACCCCATGGATATGAAGTCACTTGTAATGGCTACAAGTCCAATTCTGTGTGTTGAATTACACTAACCCCAAATGCAGAAATCCCTTACTGATGTAAAATATGGATGTTACTCTAATACACCCACAAATACAATCTATCACTACTGGGAAAGCACATAATCCTAGTTTGTTTGCTACTATCACTCCCTTTTGTTTTCAAACACTACTAGAAATCAGACCACGTTGAATTTTCAGGGCATGGAGGGGAAAATGAAGAGCATATAAATGTTATCTTTATCCCTGTTATCTTTCCTTTTAGTGTGATCAAATAGCAAACTAGCACAAATCAAAATTAGCACAAAATGGTTATTTCAGCAACACATGTAATAAAACCAGAAAGTGCACCTTCACAATACAACTGTGTCAACTGTACAGTGTGTAGAGTCTTGACCTTTCATTGAAAAAGTAGTTTCCAGTGCAGAGGCATATTCTGGTAGCATCTGGAAATTTATTCACAAGTAGAAATTCTTCTTGTTTCTGCTTGCAATGATTATCTGAATGTCCTGCTGTCCAACCAGAAATTCTAAGTTTTAGAAGCTGTGTTTCTTTGGGAAATTACAGGATTTGAAAAACATAATCATAAAAACTACGTTAAGTACCAAGTGAAGAGCCCGAAAGGCTTCAAAAGACTAGACAGCAAACATGTCTCTATTAAAAGCCTGGTATTAAGGGACAAAGTGAAAACTGTCAAAACTCAAACTGAGTTAGACCTTATACAGGACTTAAAAAGCCAGAATTATTCCTCCGGTGTGAGATATGAGGAGAAAGGAAAAAGGGAATAAGTGGTTGAGACAGAGGATAAGCTACTCACAGCATATATATTGAGCAGAGCTACTACGGAATGAGGTGAGACTAGAAGACTGTGGCTTGTTTAGCCCAGCAATTTAAAAACTGAGGTAGTGTATGATCGCTGTCTATCTATATGCACAGAGGGTAAAAATAAGGAGAGAAGAAACAGCTTTGGCCTAAGAAGAAACAGCACACTTGGCTATGAATACATTTAGACTGGCACCTCTAAAAGTATTCCAACTATCAGGTGAGTAAAGTATTCAGACAACAAAAGTAATGGCTGCTAATATTTATAACTAACCTGTGCCTTTAAAATGGAGATCAACCAGATTAGAAAGGGATTATGGAACTAGAAAGCAAGGAATCAAGCTTAGAGACCAACACAAAACCACATGGCCGAGGAATCAAACTGGAAAATAATGAGTTCATTTGTAATTTGCTCACAAACTTACAGCACAGAAATTTTAACCACCATAAGCATTCAAGAAGTAAGCTTCACTATCTCTGAAGTTAATGTCCTAACAAGTATACCATGCTCACCAATTAACTGCCTCCTAAGAATAACAGGAAGCACAATAACTGCAGTATCTTGGATTTATAGAAATTATCATTAATGACAGTTGACATAAATGTCTTCATTATTAATTCCCAGAATGCCTGAATAATTAAGAAGCATATGCAACAATATTTAGCTATAGCCCACCATCTCAAGCAAAACAATATAGTTAAATAAATTACTGAAAAGTCAGTTCTTGTCTTCAGTCACTGATTCAAATAATTATTCCTTACGACTACTTGTAACAGCATACATCTCCTCTCTGTCAAATAAGATGCAAGGTATTTTCTCTTTTATTTACTTGTACATAGCTTACTTTCGATTCACAATCAGCCACTCCCGGATATAGGTTTGAACACAGTCTCTGACATGTGAGTCCAGTTCAACCCTGGGGAAAAAGCAACACATTGTAAATATTTTAGTACCTAGCTCATACGTTAAAGAAACTTATCTAAACAGCATCTGAACATTTAGCAGTAAAATGAATATACGGAAGAGGACTGATAGAGGGGCCTTCGTCAGTTCTAAAGGCCCCTCTATTAGTCCTCTCCTGTATATTCATTTTACTGATAAATTATTGTTTAAGGTTTAAAGAAATATATGCACTGCATGAATTTTCTCATGCAGGTTTTTGTTGCTGTGTTTATAAACTAGCAAGCATAGATTTAATAGAGGTAACCATTTGCCACACTATACATTTCATGAACATAAGACTGATAATGTCACAAAATACTGCAAAAGAAAAGAAATTATACCAGGTACCCATATTTGTGATTTTCAAAACTTGATTTCAAGTCATAACATACAGACGTATTTTTCCAGAGGCCTCAGCTCCTGGACTTTCGCAAATACATTGTCTCTTGTATGTTTTTGGCATAATTTTCTCTTGCTCATAGAAATGGGGAAAATTCTAAAAAGAGACCCAAAGCTTATATGCAGAGAGCACAAGAAAACTTTAAGTTTTGCAAATATGTTATAATTTAATTTTATGATTTTTAACCAAGTGTCCCTTAATGTAGGGAGTTGTCAGTGCTGCCTGGTTGACTGGATGCTTACTGGAACTGAAATATTATAAGCTAAAGTTGATGTCCATGAATCTTCTGTCATGATGTTGTTGCATAATTCCCCTACCCCTGTTCTAAAAAAATTTCAGTGAGCTATACCAAAATCACTTGTTACTTCCTCTGATCCAAGCAAGTAAAAGAGTAGGATACACAAGCAATGCAAGAATGGGTGAAAGGTATGATACTTTTTTAGCTCTTTCCACCCATAACTCTTAACAGATTTGCAACCTGTTACCAACACCAGGTAACAACCGATTTGGGTTCACACACACACTGCAGGACAGAGGCTTGGCTGATACCAGCCTCCTGTGTGCCCCTGCCACAGGTGGACTGGCACACCACATGGTCACTTCCTGCACCTGCTTCAGATGGGATATATGTTGTAAGCAGCCAGCATGTTAACTCAATTTGGTTCGTGGTATCTGTTTCCTGCTCTCATGAAGGAAGACACTACAGACTGCACTGCCTGCGGCGAATCTTTGGTGCATGCCCCTCCTGTGCTCTCACCTTCCCTAATATACCCTGACATCTTTGACCAGGTTTTTCTCTGAAGGCATTAATACTGACAGCAGCAGTGTGCATGGCTAAATGGGAAGCTGCTGTGTAAAAAAGTCTGCTGAAAGCATATTTGTTGTTATTGACTATTCGAGCTTTGCCAGAGACCCATTCATTACAAAACCCTTAATGTCACTTGTGCAAATCAGGCCAAAACCTGATTGTACAGTGTGAGTCTACACATTCTCCTAGCGGAAAAAACAAATAGATAACTGCTGTTTGAAATAGCAGGCATGCTCGTGAGCAACCTTGGAAATATGTGTGTATTGGAGAGAAATGGTCATCTTGTCTTTTAAATCTCATTTCAAAGATGGATAACTTTTTCCACTTTTGTGCATCATTTAACTAAATGGGAATTTCAAACACCAAAATATTCACTGTCTCCTACATCCATCCCCTTTCCCCAATCCATACAAAAACAAGAATTCATTATAAAGATTGGAACATCTTCTGTGAGTGACTTCAAATGAAAAACACCTTTCGTGCAAAATTACAAAATCCCTCGGAGCTGTATGATTCAAAGAGTTCTCAGGTGACCATGTGGGGCACCTCCTCTATGCACTTTGCTCTCCTCAGCCTCCTGAGACTCACTGGGCCAAGAAGGAGCTTGCAGACTGAGAACTTGCTTAGTGAGAGGGGCTCACAGCTAGTCGACACCTGGCAAAAATAATATCAACTGTGGTTCCATCCTAGTCTCATTGCCTTTGGTATGTTAGGCAGAAAACACTGAACAAATACAGTTGTTGTACAGGGCTCTACTTCACACAACTGGATGGTATAAACTAGAGCAGGCTGTAACAATTTTGGCAGGAACAGAGAGGGATGCTGGTCTACCCTGCGAGCCAGAACACCATAAACTAATCCTGTTTGTCCTTTCAGCGTTCAGGTTCAGCACAGCAGGGAACACAGACTGTGCCAGCCATTTACTGAATGTACTGGAAAGACCCAGCCCCCCACCCCAAACATGTTGGACAGTTAGCTCTCTTTGCAGACATAGCAGTCTGGGGCTAAACTGGTGCTGACTTCACGTTTGTCTGGCTGTTACTGCTTTCAAAATTCAACAGGCCTTTGTGGTTCTACTTGAAGTTACATTTACAGCAAAAAAATCCTTGAAGAGTATTTTGTACACAATACATAGGACTCTCCTAAACCACGTCACAAATCTCTCCAATACATCCCTTTTTCTCATTCTAAAAAATTCTGTTGCTCATAGTTTGCCTGTTTATCAGCTTAAATATTTCCAGGATGGCTGAGCACCAGTATCAACACATGCTATGTGTTTTGATCTAAAAAGCTGGTGAAAATAGTGGAAACTTTCCTAATTATTTAATTAACGTCAATCTGGAACCAAATGTGACTCCTACACTAGAAACTAACACATTTTTCTTCCCCCAAACATTGTGAAGTGTGAACTATTTCCCCCCATTTAAGCAAGAAAGGTACTAAGAGATGCTTGGGAATCTGCTGAATGTAACACATCACTGGCCAAAAAAAAAAAAAAAAAAAAAGGGAAAAAATCAATCCTATGCTTACCATATGATCAGAATCAACTTCCACCTCTAGGATCACAGCTACACAATATTTTTCATACTACCTTCCTGCCCTTCTTTCCTCTTCTTCCTAGTCTATGCCTAGCTCACTTCTGGCGCTACCAGCTAGCTCAGGAAGTCACTTAAATGCTTGCATAATTTTAAGTTTGCAAACAGGCCTGACAGAATCAATGGCAAAGTTCAAATGTTTAAAGTTCAGCAAGTGCATAATGGACGGATTGAGGGATGGCAGAGTGAGGTGTCTGGATAGACATATTCAAAACTATTTTTAAACCTGAACCATTTCAGAGAGAGAGAAAGTCTCCTTACCCATCTTCTGGCATAGATGGTTGCAAAGTCCTACACTCTTTGGGTGTAAAGACAATGTCCAAGTCATCTTCGGGAAAATCACCAAGCTCTTGTGCTAGTTCTGGGTCCAAGTTGTTCAGTCGCGTCATTAGGAAGCCTTCAAAATCTACTGGGTCGACTACGTCATAAAAGGAAGGCTAATGAAACAAATAAAGAGTTATTTTAGCAACAGAAGGGGTTTTTTGAATTAGTGTAATTTAGGATTACTTATTTACTTCTTGTCATTGTCCCATTTGTCTTAAACATCTTATGCACAGTGCCACTTCATTTAATGTAAGGAAAAGTTGCTAAATGAAACTTTTAGCTGAAAAAAGAAAGGGGACAAAGAGAGAAAAGTTTTGAAATTAAAAAAAAAAAAAAAAAGGAAGGTACTGCAACTAAATCCAAATTTGAACCTATTTTCTCAATTGAGCTTTCACACACAGTGGTAGAAGTGGGCTGACTGAAGTATGTCCTGGATGCCCTCAGACATATTCTGTTGGATTCTCATGAAGTGCACTCAGTTCCTCTTGTCCAATCCATAATCGGAGTTATGAAAAAGGCAGCAGCAACAACAGGGAATTAGGGGAGGTAACCAAAATTATAGTGACAGGGAGTGGCCAGCTGGCAGGGAATTGCCAGTGGACTCTATAGCAAATGTGACAAAAGGCACTCACAATAACAAGGCCAAGGCAGTAACTCTTGGAAGTTATACTGAGCTAAGTACTAAGTACAAGCACCAGGGCTGCCATGATAAAGATGCCTTTCATTTGAGGTGCTGTGCCTGAAAGGTACTGCCTATTAGAAATGCTATGTGCTTTTCTCCAAACAAAGTTGAGGGCAAGATATACCTAAAATCAGAAGAAATTATTTTTCTCCATCTCCAAGAGTTACTGGTTTGCATTTTATTGCAGCTCGAATTTTATTGGATTTTTCAAGCATCAGTACAGTGACTACACAAAAGACTACATGTAACTACTGAAGTTATCTCTGCAAGCCTTAGACATCCACCATTTCTACAGCACATGGCATTGGACCTTGATAGAGAGCAGCTCTACTTGGTAATATTTAATTAGCCGTTCCCACATAGACCATCTGATCCACAACAAAGTTCAACAAGTGCCAGATGTGACACTTATACATGCTATGAAGCTGCCTGGCTCTTTTCATCTGCTTAGTCCCAAAACCAGAAAATCTTGTTTGATATGCTACCTAGAAATGTTCCACGTACACATATATTAGAAGTATTTTACTTGCTATATAGCCAACAAAAATAGCTTTTATATGTGTAGAAAACAAAACATTTGTCTAGTTGAGTACAAAGACCAGCATCTCATGTTGTTGATCGTCTTGACAAATAAGAAATAGATCTAAAAGCTACAGATTTAGAAAACCTACAGTTTATATTCTGCAACTTCCAGAAAGGCTGTGGAAACCTCAGTGCTGCAAGAACACAGAAAAATAGTTAGAGCAGAGCATTAGAATAATAGCACTGAAATAAGTTATTTACCAGGTGAAAGAATTCTAGCAAAAAATAGCTACCAAATCATCCTTGACTGCAAAGAACAGGGATTGTATTGCACTGATTAGCCTAAATATGTTTCACAAGACTGCCTTCTGAACATAGATCAGATCATCAACCTCTATGATGGAGGTGGGGAAAATAAGGCACCTGATGTCCCTGATATCAACCTTGCCTTTACATTAAATGCTACTGCAACTACTGTCTCATTTAATGTATTCTGGAGCTATCCTACTTATACTCCAGTGTTCTCCACAAATAAAATCTCCAGGCCAAAATCATGAAGTCTTGACTCTTTATTACTAAGTCCTACTCATGCAAGGCCCTCATGGAAGTTGACAGGATTTTCACCTGAGCATGAAGTGATCTCTGCACATAACAGTGTTGCACTCGTGTGAGTAATTTTAGCTCAATAGGACACTGAGGAATTCCACAATCTATAAAACATAGAAAGGTGCTCAACAGTGGTAAAACTCTGAGTAACTCTGAACTAAAATGTCTCACACACAATATGCCACGTCAGTCACTGTAGATAGGAAGACGAGTTAACACTGGTCGGTGGTAAATATGAGTTTTGGAGCCTTTTTAGTGTTCTGGAAATGTAAACGAGGCAGTTATTCAGCTAATAAAAATCCAGAAACATCTTGTGGAAAGTGAATCATATTTAGAAGAAATATGCTCAAAGCTTCTAGGAGAAGGAAGCCAATTTAAACTTTTGAAAAAAATAGATGTGGCAAATACTCCTGGAAATTATACCCAATCACCACCCCCAGCCACAGGTTCCCAAAAAGTAGGGAAACTATATTATTCTCTGCACAAATAGAGTCTCTAAGCTCACCCCTCCGCCTGTACATTTAAGGGATTGATTGAATTTTCTGAAAACACCTCTGCAAATACCTCTTTCTTTGCTCTTTTTATCCAAAGGGAAAACTTAAACCTGACAGTAAGTTCGGCACATCATCAGGCAGCCAGCTGAAGAAATACACTGTGCTGTTAATAAATTCTTAGGTTAAGCACTGTTTGTACCTAGTGTAGTGCTGAGCATACTGAATCAACCACTATGAATAAATAGTGATCTTAATTAGCTGTTGATTTTTTATGAATTATGAGCACAATATCCTTGAAGTTCATTTACTGTACTGCCAGTGGGTAAGACATTATGTGTTAGTATATATATATAGCATGTATATGAAGATCTACTAAAGAAAATAATTCACAAAAGATTAAAGTAAAATACAGCTTAAAGTATACAAAAGCATATTACATCTTTTCAGTTGCTGAAGATGTAATGCAAAACATTTTTGCTTAATACAATCTAATTTTTGACTAAGCATTGTACTTCCTTTCAGAAATCACACTTTTCCATTCTGACAAGTCAAATACATTGCATTTCATGATGTCTTCTAACTTTTCCTAGTTGGAGTGTTAATAATAATCTTTAATGACTGGAAATGTGTGCTTTTCACTATTGTAAATTAGATACAAATGTAAAAAAGATGGTGAAAAAAGGTAAATGCAAATGCAAGGTAATGGTCTCCTTAACAATTGGTGCAAATTATCGAAGGAAACAGAGATACTGTTTCAACTGAGAAGCCAACACCCCTTTTCACACATCATACCTGTGTGCAAAACAATTATTCTACAGAAAATGCCACATATCATTACTGAAAACATACCTTTTTAAGGATGATGGATTAGAGGCATGTAGATTGTGACAGCACACAAAATGGCAGCTACGGCGTTAATACCCAGGAAATGAAATGTTATCAAGCTTCTCGAGCAAAAGTAGTTGTTTGCATGTAGAAGAGGACCTAGCCTTCTCAGGCTGAGCAACCACAAGGAACACGTTAAAACGCCACAGCGTTTCAGATTAAGGAAGTGAGTAGTGGCGGGAGGCCCTGACACACAGGAAGTAAATGCTTACATCTAGTGTTTTACATTTTTCACAATCACTGGTGCACAAAGACTTTTCCTGCATCTACTTATCAGCTCTCACAAAAATTAAAAAAAAAAAAAAATAAAAGGGTAGGCAGCAGGAGCGTATCAAATTCATATCCGGTTTTATTTATGGCATAGTATGTTTGCAGAATACCCATCCCCCTGAAAGGCAATTAAAAAGATCTGGCAGTTTTTCCCTTTGTGTAAAGGGCAGTGTCATATGGTCTGACTTCTTCAGGGGTGGATTGCACATGGAAGGCTGAAGATGGTTCAGACTCATGTAACAATTGACTCAATTGGGTGTATGCCAATGAGGGCATGCTTTGCCATTTCTTACTTACCGTGCTTACTCTACAGCACCGAAAAACAAGTCAGTGGCTGTCTCTGCTGCTGGCTCTGGAAACTATGTATTAAGCCATGCTAGCAGAGCCTCTGACTTTCTTTTTTTCTCTTTACTCACTGACCTCTTTTAGCAAACCATCTGTGACAACACACAATGCATTTACTTGGTGAAGGTGAGTGTTTCCAGCAAGGCATGGATGTAATATACTCCAAACTCAATAATTAACTCTGATTTATAGTGGTATGCAGAAAGACTGTCTATTTCAGGCTCTAAAGACCCTTTGCAGTTCTTTCAAATGCATAATTTTCTTTGCTCACCAGGGAGTCTTTTTTTAACAGCGTCAGGAAGAAGCCAGTGAAAAGCAAGACTAGCTTAAGATCACTTAATTTACCCTAAAAACATTATGCAATGTAGATGCCAAACCTGTGTAAAGAAGACAAACCCAGAACTTACCAGATGAAGAGTAGAAAAGCCAGGGGTACTTAAGCTTCGTTGACAAAACTGCGCAAAGCCTGGTTGGAGAGTAAATTGCTTTCTTATTTCTGCAGAGGAGTGCCTTTAATTAAGCAGAGAAAACCCCTTATAACTACAGTTATCCACATACAAATTCTGAACGCTAGGCTTAAGCCAATTTAGTCTCCTGTCACAGTGTTTAGAAACATATTTTGACGGTCTAGACTCCCGTTTTCTAGTTGATGCAAACCTCAAAAAAACCTCATTTATGGTCCTATTTAATTAAGATTCTGACACTCTTCCAACAGATTTCTATCATTATATTGTAGTCTTCGCAACTGGGAAAGGCTATGAAATAACCTTGCCCTGAAGTGAAGTGGGACTGCAACCTGTACAACAGTACTTCCAGATTCATTTCTGCAAAACAAAGGTACAGGATAATAGAGTAGAGAAGGAAGGATGTACATCAGAGATGCAAATATTTTAATGAACTGGTAATTAACCAATGGGTAAAAACAAGACAGGACCACTCACTGAACAATGAAAGCCCAGGCTTATGGTAATAATGCAGTCTGCCATGAAAAGCACAAGACAAACCAAAACATGAGTTTAAAAATCAGCCTATACTTATCAGCTGAACATTTGAGGAAAAGACTTCTTAAGTGCTAATTAATTTATTTCAATGGGAGCAGAAAGAGGGCAGTACCGAATTCTTCCAAAAGCCCAGAGTGATGTGGGATCCAATCTGAAATGTACCCAATCTGAAAATTCAGTAATCAGAGCAGCTTGCTCATTTTTCATGGAAACAAATAAATTAATATTTCCTATGATTTAAGAATAATCAACCATTAAACAATAACAAAACATCTACAATAAATTTTACCATAAACATGCAGGACAAGATTTCTGAAAGAACAAGATGCACTTAAGCAGATTCCAAGTAAAAAATCCAAATCTGCAGCTCACCAGGGCAGCCCACTGGGAAACAGGAAAACACAGACATACAGGCATTTCCCTTCTGTCTAAGACTCCTCCAACTCCAGTAATCATTAATAGGCAATTTAGAATTACCAGGTGCCACAGGACAGAGTTTGCCTGTTTGGTCTGCACCTTCTCTCCGCCATGGTGTTCTGATTTCTCTGACTACTACACCTACTATGTGACACTTGATCTCTTACTACTGCTTTTCTTAACAAGCATGGCAAAATTGAAACTCCACTGAATGCAGTTCTGCCCCTGTTAAGAAACAGGCACCTCACAGAAGGTACTAAAGTTATTTGCCCTGTTTTCTAAAATAAAGGATGCGTAAACAAGTAGTTGCTTGCAGGTCAAGAGGCCACACCAGGTGTGACTGGGACATTGCTCCATTCTGAAGGCAGCAGCAATTACAGAGAGGGCAAAGCCAGAGTTATAGAGAAAGAAAAAAGATCCATGTGGAAGAGAAATTCCTATTCAGCATCGGTATTCCAAAAATCAGACAGGATGAAATGGGATTTTTTTTAAAGGTGATTACATAATTATACAAGCAAGAAACCACAGAGGGGGAGAGCGAGGAAGTCTGTGCTTTCCTTATATTATTTTTGCCCTGTTTTAAACATGAAAGCTGCTTGTATATCAAGGTTGGTTTTTTTTCCACCTTCCCACTACAAATAATCTCTGATCATGAATGTACATAGCAAAGTATAACACAAAACTCAAATTATTCCAAACTATTATTTACTTCACACTGAGTCAGTTTCTATCCTGTGCAGAAGTATCTGTTACTGATGTAAACAACAGTTGTAGCAGCAGATGTTGGTTTAATATATGTAAAAACTATGTTACAGTGTATTTGCAGAAGTTGCTGCTGTAAACAATGACGTAACATATCTCTGAAGTACACCAGATATGGGGTCATCAGACTCTTTGAACAGGAAATGGTATGAATTTTCATCTGCAAAAAAGGAAGCATGCATGTGGATGAAGGGCCAAACTGCTGTCTGGTAAAAGCCTGTGCAAGCCCAGCTAACTGAGAGGAAATACGTTTCTCAAGATCAGTGAGATAAGTTCTAGAGGCTTCCCAATATTCAAAGAAAGAATTTGCAGAATAAATTAGTCTGATAGAAGAAGAAGCCTGTAATCTATAAAAGTTAATTTCAAAAAGTTTAGGAGTAGTTCAATTGATTGATATAATGTTTTTCATATCACAAGGGAAAGGGAGAAGCAATACAGTAAGAATAACAGAAGACAACAAAGTTGGTTTGAACCGACTCAGAAATGATTGGCAGGATCTCCCAGGAATAAGTAAAGCAAAGACACAGCTGCTAAAATATGCTAAACTGAAAGCACAAGTCAGCTACCCCAACAGAGAGAAAAGGTGGGTGTTAGATCAGCACGGAAAGTTTTGAAAACCTGAGAACCAAACAGAGGGCCTTCAAGATGGCTCTTCAGTTAGGCCAGAATGGCTGTAGTCTGTGAGACGTCTATTCTCTTATCAAACTGCTACTTCACACGCTGTGTAGGTACCTGCAGGAAAACGGTGGTCCGTGTTAACCTAGCACATGTGGTGTCCCAGATTTCATGTAGGCTGCAGTCCGTCTATGCCATGGCCATACTTCTACCCTAACTGCCTGTAGAGCAGCCCTGTCTGATTCTGAGGAGAGCTTTACAGTCACCCTTGGCGGTGAGGATGGGTCTAGCTATGTGCTCAAAAACAATAAAGAAAGAAGGCAAGTGATTAAGGATGAATGCAAAGCAGTCACTGAATGATCTGAGGGAAAAAGGTAAATACACCTCTGGAAAGGAGGACTCAAATAATCGCAGGCCAGCCAGCTGGTCTCTGACACTCAAAGAGATGAAAGAGCAAATTACTAGCCAATCAACTTATAAGCAGTTGGAGCATCAGGACTCAAACTGTGGTGTCCAGTTGAAGCAAGGAGTTAATTAAATCATACATAACTTTATGTATTATTCCAAACAATGTACTACTGTACATGTGAGAAGCAAGTTAATTTGTCCTCAATTCTCGTCTAGTCTAATTCCAGTCAATATTTTATTTTGCAACACTGATGATGGTATGGGTAACACAGTAATAAAAGTTGTGGATCACATCAGACTGGAAGGAATTGCGAGTGCTCTGAAAGTCTGGCTCAGAATTATCTAGTATTTCAGAAACAGACTGAAATCAGCACACCTGGATTCAATAAAAAGAACTGCGAAACCCTAAACTTCTGAAGAAAAAGAATAAAATGCAGAAATACAAAAAGGGAAATGAAATGTCTAAAGAAATAGCGGTGCCACAGAAGAGGCTCTGAAAGAGTGGACTGGGACACTTACTAACGGAATACCACCAGCAAAGAAAAAGGGAAGTTATTTCTGTTTGTGTAAGCCAGTGAGACAGAGCTAAGGCTGATGTACACATGTAGAACACCACATTGTAAGATACAATCACACTGAAAAGGTTTTGAAAGAAAGCAGTCAGAATGATAAAAATTTTGGGAAAGGTGACCCACGAGGAAATACTGAAAAAAATAGATGGTATTCAGTTTACAAAGGATATGAATGAGGGGGACAGCAGTTGTCCTCAACTGTGTAAAAGGTAGCAATTCGTAAAGAAAACAGTGAGCAGTTCATGTCCATAAAGGGAACAATAAGTAATCTGCTTGAAGTGAAGCAAGAAAGATGTAATAAGCTATTAGGAAAAATGTTCCCACTGGCAGTGGCTATTTGGTGATGCCACAGTGACAAGAGCACACTGGTACTGCAGATCATGCCTCTGAACTAACAGGAGAACAGCATCTGGGCAGCAGCAAGCTTTTCAGAGACCAGATAAGGGACTCAGCAGTGTTAATAGCTCTACAGTTCTCCCATTTTGGTGCCTGACCCTTTGTTTAGGATAAAAAGGAAACACTGAAAAGAAAAAGGTGTAGATTTGAGGGAGTTTTTTCCACAGAAGCCACTGCTGAACTCAGAGCTAGTCAGCGTTCACATGGCATTTTGCAAAACAGGAAAAACAGGAGATGATGGCAGCCTAAGGCTCTTTTGGACTTTCTAGATCCCTGGCTGCTCCATGGTGTTGGAGCAAAATAATGTCAACTGGAATTCTTTACTCCACTCTGTGTTGCCTCGGCCATATATGAATGACAATGTTGTCCTCCTCTGGGGTAAATCTTGAAAACGCTGGCACTCAACAGACTTTCTGATCCACCCAGATGGGACTGGAGGGTAGACAAAAAAAAAAAAAGTAAAAAAAAAAGTGGTGCTGCTTAATCAGAATTTCACCAGTGTCTGTCCCACTGGTAGATACAATCCTTGAGCACTTCTCCTGAATTACTAACAAAAAGTTGAGACATAGTCTGTATCTCAAAAATATTCTCCAATGCAAAATGTGTAGTTTGCATAATATATTAAACCAATGGTATAACCAAAATAACAGATTACACCTAAGAGGTTCTTAAAATTCTATTTAACTTGTAGGTCAAATTCTGAGATGTTTCTCGGGGCAGAGCTCATTGCAGGATTTAGGACGTGGAGATTTGAGTTGTTAGTTAGGCCTAGGTGAGGTATCAGGGAAGGAAGATAAAATAGTCACCTATTTTCTCTATCTAACAGGTGTTAGATCTGTGGCTGAACACTGCTGGGTTCTATAAATAAAACAATATGAACACTTATAATGCATAAAGCTGGTTACACAGTGTCACTGTCAATTCTTCTAAACAACACAGTTCTTTGATATGTATAGTTTAAATCAGGCATAACAGGTATTTTGCTAGTATGTATATCATATGAAAACTTAAACAGAACTCACAATTTAGAAAAAAAAAAACAAAACAGAAAGAGAAGAGCTTTAAAGGTCATCTATTAACTGGAAATTGGAAACTTCATAAGAATAAACTGATCTTAAAAGTATGCTTCACACACCTACTGGATTAAGTTATCCAAAGTTACCTACTATTAGAAGTTACCTACTAGAGGGAGGTAAGAAGAGTAATCCTTAACACCCTTACAATCCCTTCCAGCAGATTCTGAGGAATGAGTTGAGTTGTCTTCTGCAAGAGCTACATACACAATTAGACAGCAAGGGAAGATGAAAAAAATAAAAAGGGACTATGAGAACTACCCCCATGGATGGAGAAACATTCACATCTAAATGTATATAAATGGCAGAATTGTAAAGTATAATAGTGAAAACTTTTGCTTAATGGCTAAAATAATCAGTCTTGGCTACCTTGTGTAGTAATCCCTTTCATCTGACATTGATGTAAAAAATTCTCAACTAGTTTTTGTTCTTTTTCTGAGACTAACATGAAACTTCTCCGGTTACAACTAAAAACCGGCAACAAAAACTCTGGAAAAGGTAAGAATTACCTACCCCTCTCCTCCACTCCCACACATAAACACACACAAAGTTTTGGGCAACAATCCAGATCTTTAACTAGCAAATATGGGAATCTTGCTTAGAAGTCCCTTCTTACCACCAGTGGAACTGCCTGCTTTTCTTCGAAGTTGCTAATTAGGCCCTAAGGCACCAGAGCTCTGCTTTGCTGCTTGCTGTTTACAGCAGTGGTCTATCTGAACTAGCTGCTACTTCCTTGATGGCTCAAGTAGGCTATACACCTTTTGGGACACCCCTGCTTTGGGGTCTACCACATTAAGGGTCTATATCAGCTGAAGCAATAAAGAACCTATTCAAGACGGTTGATTTAACGACAATCTTTTTAAAGGAGATGGTGCAGGAACAAACAAAGAAGTCTAGGAGGTGAAATCGCCAACTTCATTATGCTGTCAGCTTGTTACAAAGTAAAACAGGCACGAGGTCAATTTTCAATTTTGTCCCAGGTCATGTATGCCATTCATTCCGTGAAGATTTTTCAATGCCACTCAGTTTTGCTGTTTCTCCCACAGGAGGAGACATAAACACACATAAAAATTAATTTTCTAATCCTGGCAGTGGAGGAAAAGGACAACCACACTTTCTTGCCATGCAAAGAAACAGAATATTTAATGAATATCTAATGAACCATGCTTGTATGTGCTTTTTAACAATATGCAAAAGGTATGATATAACGTTTGAGAAGACATTGTGCATGCATTGATGACTGGCTGCTTCTTGCAGTGAAAGTGGTTTTAGGTGTAATGTTCCATA